ATCGAGGGTGATACCGAGGGTGATACCCAGGATGATAACCAGGGTGATACCGAGGGTGATACTGAGGGTGATACCAAGGGTGATACCGAGGGTGATACCCAGGATGATAACCAGGGTGATACCGAGGGTGATACTGAGGGTGATACCCAGGATGATATCGAGGGTGATACCGAGGGTGATACCCAGGATGATACCCAGGATGATACCGAGGGTGATACTGAGGGTGATACCCAGGATGATATCGAGGGTGATACCGAGGGTGATACCCAGGGTGACATTCCAGGATGATAACCAGGATGATAACAAGGGTGATACCAAGGGTGATAACCAGGGTGATACCCAGGATGATACCAAGGGTGATAACCAGGGTGATATTCCAGGATGATACCCAGGGTGATACCCAGGGTGATAACCAGGATGATAACAAGGATGATACCCAGGGCCTGTATTCATAAAGAATTCTAAGACTAAAAGTAGCTCTTAGTGAAGTCAATCTAAGAAAAATCTTAGAATTCCTTAAATTCCAAGATTTTTCTTAGAATTTTCTCTTGGTAAGATAAAATTGTTCACAAAGCATCTTAGGCCTTAAAAGAGCTCCTAAGGTGAAAAACTGTTAAGAGGAGGGAGGAGGTACGAGGGGTAAAGTAATAATTACCAGAGATTTTAGTCCCGTCCGAATGTGCCATGTCAGTAATCATTACCACATGATGTCAGTAAAGATTACCATGACTTTTACCTTCTGTAAAAGGGTCCCGGAAAATTACCTCAGGTAATACTAATCCAGTGTGAATAGACCAGCAGTAATATGTGTGTATTTCCTGTTTCCAAGTGGTTTTTCACGGATTTTCAAGCATGGAGGCTCTTGAAGATGCACTCATTTTTGCACTTCACAGTCGGACAAGTCCGTGTGAAACCTCAGGTACTGTGGGTCTACGACGAACACGATTCAAAACCAAAAGAAGGTCGCAAGCACTTGTCCGAGGCACGGGACTTCTGATTGCTTTAGGTAGTTAAGTATGCAATGTAGCAGGGCTATGTGGCTAATAAAAAAATGACAATAAAATCAACCAATAGGCTAATCAGTTCATAATAATTCCATGTTGTAGGCTATATTATTTTATACATACAAGGAGTGTGGTGGTGTGGTTTTTTCTCCATTTCATTAGTTGTTTTGGTCATTCTGCCAAATCAAACCGCTTTTTACAAGGAGGCCAGCAATCACAGTAACTGCTGACAGCTGAGTCTGCATCCACCATTAATATCAAATAGATTAAGTAGTAAAATTACCAACATGGCGAGTAAACATAACAATAAGCAAATCAATATGATAATCGGCATGTGAATGAGGTACGTTCAAACATTTTGAAGCTGTGTAACAATTAATTTAATTTTGCTGAGTTACATCATCATGACATAAAATTATTTTAACGATTACACATTTCTTAATACAGTCTAAGTTCTATGATCGGTTCATTTCACTGTCCATTCATTACTAGGAGAGCATTTGTTTTTTTGTTTGTTTTTTTCTCCTTTTTGTAACAACCAATCACAGCTTTTAGAAGACTGCGTCATACCTAGCAATGGGGTCAACCACACCTCCTCACTAAGATAAAAGTTTCTGTCCCCTCCTTGCTCAGAGTTGCTCTCAGAAACTTCCTGAATCACTCTTAAGCTAAGATTCCTTGCTAGGAATTTTTAGGCTAAGTTAGGAGCTCTCTGAGAGGACTCTGAGAATCTTTGTGAATGTGGGCCCAGGATGATACCCAGGATGATAACCAGGATGATAACCAGGGTGATACCCAGGATGATAACCAGGGTGATACCCAGGATGATAACCAGGATGATACCCAGGGTGATACTGAGGGTGATAACCAGGATGATAACCAGGGTGATACCCAGGATGATAACCAGGGTGATACCCAGGATGATAAC